AATTCCCAGAATCCTCCATCCATTGGACTCCCAGAATCCCCCATCCATTGAACTTCCAACTCCCAGAATTCCCTATCCATTGAAGTTCCAATTCCCAGAATCCTCCATCCATTGAACTTCCAGCTCCCAGAATTCCCCATCCATTGAACTTCCAATTCCCAGAATCCTCCATCCATTGAACTCCCAGAATCCCCCATTCATTGGCCTTCAACGCCCAGAATTTCCCAGCCAGTGGACTTCAACTCCCAGAATTCTGGGCATTGAAAAAAAAAATCCACCGGCTGGGGAACTCTGGGAGTTGAAGTCCACCTCTCTTAAAAGTTGCCAAGGCTGGACACCCCTAGTGCGCAGGCTTTTAACACAACTCCTCCATGATTGTGCTCAAGGGTGTATGACAAGTGTGCTACATGCGTCTCGTGGGCTTTTAGGATCCGGGATTGTTTTGCACACCCAACAAGCATCGGACAGAACCGCACAACAAGTCATTAGCAAGGGGTGTTTTATGGGGTGGGGTGGGGCGGGGGGGTGGGCGGAAGGAACTGGGGTGACGAGAGTAGGTAATCCGAGTTTAGTAGCACTTATTTCCTCTTGTAGATAGCATGGTCTGTTTGGATTCTGGAGTTAGGTCTTTCTCGAGAGCTCTGTTCATGGTATTGCAATAAAGGGTATTTTTTTGTCGTTCATTCAGTTGGAGCACTAATAAAAATTGGGCCTTGTAAAATATCTTCGCCCGTCTTCGGGGGGGAGAAAAAATGAATTCTTTTGTAACTAATCTTTATAAATAAACTTGACTTGAAAAGGCATAGTGGAATTATTTGGGGGGAGCACAATTAAAAAATAAAAATTAAAACCAACTAGAAGATAACCACACCAAGGGTGTTACAATGGACAATGGGAGGGAGGGGGTAAAAAATCTAAATTTTATATATTAATTGCATGAGTTTGGCAGTTCAGGGACTGCCTGTATTTCTTTTGATAAGGCAGTGAATATAAATCATATTCTTTCCTCCTCCTGTTTTCCTCATAACAACCCTGTAAGGTGGGCTGGATTGAGGGACTGGCCCAAAGTCACTCAGATGGCTTTCATGCCTAAGGAGGAACTAGAACTCATTGTCTCCTGGTGATTGGCCCAAAGTCACCCAACCGCCTTTCATGACTAAGGAGGAACTAGAACTCCGTCTCCTGGTGTTTGGCCCAAAATCACCCAACCGCCTTTCTTACCTAAGGAGGAACTAGAACTCCCTGTCTCCTGGTGATTGGCCCAAGATCACCCAACCGCCTTTCATGCCTAAGGAGGAACTAGAACTCACTTGTCTCCTAGTGATTAGCCCAAAATCACCCAACTGCCTTTCTTACCTAAGGAGGAACTAGAACTCCCTGTCTCCTGGTGATTAGCCCAAAATCACCCAACCGCCTTTCTTACCTAAGGAGGAAACTAGAACTCCCTGTCTCCTGGTGATTGGCCCAAGTCACCCAACCGCCTTTCTTACCTAAGGAGGAACTAGAACTCCGTCTCCTGGTGATTGGCCCAAGATCACCCAACCGCCTTTCATGCCTAAGGAGGAACTAGAACTCACTTGTCTCCTAGTGATTAGCCCAAAATCACCCAACCGCCTTTCTTACCTAAGGAGGAACTAGAACTCCCTGTCTCCTAGTGATTGGTCCAAAGTCACCCAACCGCCTTTCTTACCTAAGGAGGAACTAGAACTCCCTGTCTCCTGGTGATTGGCCCAAGATCACCCAACCACCTTTCATGCCTAAGGAGGAACTAGAACTCCTGTCTCCTGGTGATTGGCCCAAGATCACCCAACCGCCTTTCATGCCTAAGGAGGAACTAGAACTCCCTGTCTCCTGGTGATTGGCCCAAAATCACCCAACCGCCTTTCTTACCTAAGGAGGAACTAGAACTCCCTGTCTCCTGGTGATTGGCCCAAAGTCACCCAACCGCCTTTCTTACCTAAGGAGGAACTAGAACTCCGTCTCCTGGTGATTGGCCCAAGATCACCCAACCGCCTTTCATGCCTAAGGAGGAACTAGAACTCACTTGTCTCCTAGTGATTAGCCCAAAATCACCCAACCGCCTTTCTTACCTAAGGAGGAACTAGAACTCCCTGTCTCCTGGTGATTGGCAAAGTCACCCAGCTGGCTTTCATGCCTAAGGCGGGACTAGGACAGAAACTCTTGATTGTAAGAGCATCTTTCTAGGAATGGAGGAGACACGACTGGACCTCATGTTGTTCTCCTTGGCTTGTATGAGAGGACAGGAGCTTTTCGCTGAGTTTGTAGTACAGGAGGAGGAGGAGGAGGAGGAGGACTGGGGGGTCCTTGGGGCTCTCTGAGCTCGGCTGCTTTCTTGCAGGCATTTCATGACCCAACAAGGTAACGTCATCACTGCTAGAAGGGAGGGGGGTTTGCAGAGAGAACAGGGAGGAGCAGGAGGAGGATGGTGGGGTCTTCGGTGTTCTCTGAGCTGGAAGGGAGTGAGGTTGGAGGAGGAAGAAGAAGTGGAGGAGGAAGAGAAGGACAACAACAAGTTGTTGTTGTGGAGTCCTTGGTTGTGTTCTTGCAGACATTTCATGACCCAACTAGGTAGCATCATCAGTGGTAGAAGGGAGTGGTGTTTGTGGAGAGGGAGGAAGACGAGGAAGAGGTGGAGGGAAAGAGGAACACGATGGGCTCATTGAAGCCCTCTGAACTTGCTTGTTTTCTCGCAGACGTTGCATCACCAAACTAGACAACGTCATCAGTGAACTGGTTTTTACTTGACAGCACTGAAATAACGCAACATTCTTTTCCCTCCTCTCGACCGAACCTCAGCCCTGCCCCTCCACAGCAAAAAAGGAGAGAGATGCGGTCCAGCCGACCTGAAGCCAGATCTAGTCCCGCAGTAGGGAAAAAGACCGAGGTGGCATTCAGCCGGTTTGCACGAAACTGTAGCGGAAATCACAGGTGGGCCGTGAGCCCTCCCTGGCTCTATGCCATCCTATTTAGGAATGTTTTTGAGGCCCGGGCGCATGCACGGAAGACGCACGGGCGAGTAAACCGTATGCACGGAAGGGCCGGGCGTGGCGAACCAGTAGTATAAATACTGGAAACCCACCGCTGGAAAAAAGGCACACACGCACACACACACACAGATGTTACTCACTCCGGCATTTTTGTGCTTGCACCGTTTTTTTTCTTTCTTTCCTTTTTTTTTTTTATTAGTAGCACTTTTAAAACACAAACGGAAGCCTGGTGGCAAAGTTGTGTCCCAACAGATGTAAACAAAGTTTTGAGAAGCTAGGAGATTTAAGGAGGGGGGGGGATCATAAACCCGAAAAAAAAAACCCCAACCAAAAAAAAAAAACAAAAAAAAAACCCCCACCCCCAAAATTATTGGGGACTTAAAAAGAGATGCCGCTTAAAGCACGGGCAACCGGAGGCGGCTTTGCCAGGATTTGGGCTGGCGTGAAATGGGGGGGGGGAGGGGGAGAGAGGGGCGGCCTACGAGAACCTCTAGGCTGGTGGGCTTTTGGGTCCCTCCCGTCCCCGCTGGGACCGGCCAACTTTTATTTCTTTTTTTTTTTTAAATGGGCTGAGAATGGAGTTAGCGAGAGTTAAAGAGTGATGGGTGTCGGCACCTGCCAATCAGAACACCACCACCCCCAAGCTGAAATTGACACATGATTCTAGCCGAAAAGAGAGAAGGGAGGTTGGATCAGTGCAATCTCAGAGATATGATTAAGGAAGGGGAGGAGAGAGAGAGAAAGAGAGAGGGAGAGAAAGTAACAGGCCTTACAATATTGAGCTGGGGAAGGCGCTCAGCTTAAAGGTCCCGAGTGCGGGCGTCGCCCCCCCTTCTGTGGTTGAGAGCCTGGGGGGGGGGGGGGGGAAAGGGAGGGGGGGGGAAGAAGAGACGTCCGGCCCTGCTCACTGCTGCTCGTCCTCTCCGTAGATGTCGTTCTTCTTCCGCTTCATCTCTTCAAAGTCGAACTCCGAGCCCATCATCCTCTTGTAAATGTCTTTGATGTCGTCGCAGGTGGTCTCAAAGTGAGTGGTGGCGTCGTAAGTGCGGGAAATAAAGATCTGGGCGAAAGAGGCAAAAAAGGCACAGAGGGTTGGGCTGTCACCATCATGGTCTGGTCTGGTCTTGTCTGTCTTTCCTTCTATTTTCCTTTTTCTTTCTTTCCTCTTTCCTTTCTTCCTTTTTTTTTTCTTTGCTAGATCTTCATTTCCCTCTTCCCAGATCCTTTTCATCTTCCTCTCATCTTTTTTTTCCCTCCCTCATCTTCCTCCCTCTCTCCACTCTTTCCTCCCTCTCCCTCCCTTCCTTTTTTCTCTCTTCCTTCCCAGATTTTCTTTCCTTCTTTCATTTTCCTCTTTCCAAATCCTTTCTTCCATCTTTTCGTCGCACATCTTCTTCCTTCCCTCTTCCCTTCCTTTTTTCTTGTTTTCCTTCCTAGTTCTTCCTTCCTTCTTTCATTTCCCTCTTCCCAAATATTTCCTTCTCTCATCTTCTTCCCTCCCTCCCTTTTCTTTCATCCCTTTCCTTCCTTTTTTCTTTTCTCCTTCCTTCCTTCCTTCATTACCTTTCATTACCCTCTTCCCAAATCCTTCCTTCCATCTTTCTTTCTCTCATCTCTCTCCCCCATTTCCTTCCCTTCCACCCATCTCATTATTGAAGGATCCTGGGCAGCATATAGTATCATCAAAACAATTTAGGCAATTGAAAATTAAACATACGAAAACATGAAGCAATTAAAATATTAAACAACAAATTGAATAGAAAGATCAGTGCATAAAATGGGGTGGAGCCTCCCCTCCCAGGAAGGGGCCTGCCCCCCCACCCCTTCATACCAACCTGGCTCTCTCTGCCCAAGTCAGTTGGGGAAAACAAGTCGCTGACGCTAACAAACCTACAAGGAAGGAAAAATAAAAAATCAATTTAGGAAGATTTCAGGCAACAACAACAACAAAAAATCTGCTTTTATTTCCAGGCCCAAAGGCACTAAACTATATATTAGAATTTCTGTCTGAAGCCTCTGGCGGGTGGCCGTTTGGCAAAAACAAAATCTGGTACATTTTGATCTCATGGGGTTATGGCAAGGATGTCCGTAAGACTGGTGAACTTCTGGCTGGGGGATTCTGGGAGTTGGAAGTCCACAAGTTTTAAAAGAAGCCATGACTGAACCCTCCTGAGATAAGAAGGCAAAAGGCGAGTAGTCTCTTCTTTCTTCGTAAGGCCTGAGAATCTGTGTTTCTCAACCTTGGCAAGTTTTAAGACTGGTAGACTTCAAACTCCCAGAATTCCCTAGCCAGCAGGAGGAATTCTGGGAGTTGTTTTTTTTTTAATTTTTAAATTTGATTTATATGCCGCCCTTCTCCGGAGACTCAGGGCGGCTTACAGTGCGTTAAGCAATTCATACTTTTGTATATTTATACAAAGTCAGCTTATTGCACCCACAATCTGGGTCCTCATTTTACCCACCTTAGAAAGGATGGAAGGCTGAGTCAACCTTGAGCCTTGGAGAGATTCGATCTTACTAATTGCAGACAGCTGGTCTTAATAACAGGGTGCTTTAGACCACTGTACTACCAAGGCTCTTTCAAGTCCACAAGCCTTAAAAGTTGCCATAGTTGGACACTCCTGGTCTGAGGACTTGCTATTGGGTTCTCTCTCTCTCTTTTTTTTTTTTGCAAGACCTGAGCATCTGTTTCTCTCAACCTGGGGAAGTTTTAAGGCTTGTGGACTTCACCTCCCAGAATCCCTCAGTCTACAGTAGTGGCCAAAATTGTGGAAACCTTTTGGAAAAAATGTATTTTCTAAAAGTAGCTAATACCACCACTTTTTTGGGTGGGGCAGTAGTAACATAAAATTGTATATCAGTGGAAAGATCATTGAATCAAGAATGTAATGCAATAACTTTTATGAAGGATTTGCTGTTAGAATAGCAGTGACAGTATAAAGAAGAAAAGGGAAACACGTAGAAAAAATGAGATATACAAAAATTATCACCATGTCAGTTAATACTTACTCTGTTCCCCCCAAAATAGGACAGCCCGATAATAAGCCCAATTGGGTTTTTGAGCACATGGCAAAAAGGCCAAGCGCTTATTTCAAAAAAATCTTTATTTTCGGGAAAACACAGTAGTTGGGTCACTTTTAGCATGAATGACGGCCTTACAACGTCTTCCCATGCAGTGAACCAAGTCTTTGAGTTCTGCAGCTGTTCTAATATGAAACCAAGTTTGAACAATGGCTTCTATTAACTGGGTTTTATTGCTGGGTCGCTTCTGACTAACCAAGTTTCTTTAGTCGGCTCCATAGATTTTCCATTGGGTTAAGGTCTTGGCTATTCCCAGGCCGTTCCAGCAGTGGAATAGGATTATCTTGAAACTCCAAAAAAAAAAGGGGGGGTATTTTTGGCCAATTTTGGCCTCTGCTGTAGAACAACATAAAAGGACCATATAAATGTATAAATAAAAGCATAATTTGAAAACCGGGTTAAAAACCAGTTACAAATTAGACGTGAAAACAAATCAGATTAAAATTGAAATGCTAGAAGGTTCCTCTGCTTTGGGATTACAGACAGTCCTTGACTTACAATGGTACATTTAGTGACCGTTTGAAGTTACAACGGCACTGAAAAAAGTGACTTATGACCTGTTTCCACACTTACGACCATTTGCAGCATCCCCGTGGACGTGTGGTATTATAAGCCATCAAACCTCAAAAATACACTTTTCCCAAAAGATTTCCAAAATTTTGGCCACTACTGTAGAACAGCGACCGCCCCATCACCGGCAAAGGGGGGGCCAGAGCAGCCCAACTCAGCCGAAGTCCGGCAGGCAAGCCTTACTTCTGCTCGATGGGCTCCAGGAGGTCCATGGCGGGTTTGATCTCCTTGTCCGGCTCGTTGGTCTCCACGGTTGTGCTCACGATGGCGATGTACTTTCCTTGGGCCGCCACGTTGTGGGCGGACGAGATCATGCAGACGTAGATGTCTTTAAAAAAAAAAAAATGACACGACAGGTTTGCAAATTCAAAAGGGACAGACCGAAAGCCGCAAACCCAACAAAGTGCCGGGCGAGAGATCCGTGATGGCGCTTCCCGAGTTTACCTGACTTCCTGTTGACTTGGTTCTGGGGAATGATGATCTGGCACGAATTGGCATCGTTCGTGTTCTTGATCGGGTGGTTCAGGATGCAAATCACCCGGATGACTTTACCCACTTTCTTCACTCGGTCCGAGACGTAGCTGGGGTCGCAGATGAGCTGCTTGCAACGGGCGATCTGCGGGAGGAGGGAAGGGGCAGAGGATTCGAGACCACCAAGGGATGGAGAATGGCCGCAGGTACGGGCGGCCCACGGGAGAATATTCGTAGCTCAGGATTCAGCGGTGGGGTCCTGGGTGCTCTCTGAGCTTGGTGGTTTTCTTGCAGACGTTTCCTGACCCAACTAGGGAACATCATCAGGGTTTGTGAGGAGGAGGAGGAAGAAAAAGACAATGGGGTCCTGGGTGCTGTCTGAGCCTCATAGTTTCCTTGCAGGCTTTTCCTGACCCAACTAGGTAATGTTATCAGTGCTAGAAGGGTGTGGGGTTTGGGGGGAGGAAGGAAGGAAGGAAGGAAGGAAGGAAGGAAGGAAGGAAGGAAGGAAGGAAGGAAGGAAGGAAGGGGACAACTGTGCGGTCCTTGGTGCTGAGTTTGATTGTTTTCTTGCAGACATTTCATCACCTAACTAGGTAACGTTATCAGTGCTAGAAAGGAGTGGGTTTTATGGAGAAGAGGAGGAGGTGGTGGTGTAGGAAAAAGACACTGGGGTCCTGGGTGCTCTCTGAGCTTGGTAGTTTCCTTGCAGGGTTTTCCTGACCCAACTAGGGAACGTCATCAGTGCTAGAAGGGTATGGGGTTTGGGGGAAGGGGGAGGAGGAGGAGGAAGGAAGAGGACAACTGTGGGGTCCTTGGTGCTCTCTGAGCTTGTCTTCTTGCAGACGTTTCATGACCCACTTAGGTAACGTCTTCAGTGCTAGAAGGGAGTTGGGATTGCTCTCTGTTTATATACAAACGACTTGCCCTATCAGTGTTGGTGGGAGTGTTTTTGGAGGTTCCTTGATTAGGCTGTTGGTTACTGATTATTTATGTGAGTTGGTAGTTTCTTGACTGCGGCATCATTTACAACTGATGATGTTACCTAGCTGGGTCATGAAACGTCTGCAAGCAAACAACCCAGCTCAGAGAGCACCAAGGACTTCGCAGTCCTCCTCCCCTTCTTCCTCTTCCCCCTTTCATTCTCTTCCTCTCCACAAACTCCTCTCCCTTCCAGCACTGATGATGTTACCTAGTTGGTAACGTCATGCAACAATCTTCGATCTTTTTAACCGATTACTTAATATTAAAGAAACTTCGGGGCGCTTAGGAAACAAGAATGAGGGTTTACTCAAGAGGCATTCAAAAGAGGGAGATCCGAGCCATGCTGAGCTCCTGCTTCCCATCCCATTTCGGCTCTCTGCATAGACAAGGATTCCCTGGAGCAGAGGAGAGACACAAACGGCATCAACTCTACCTCTCCTTCCGATTTCACGCCGACCACTTTGCCGTTCTCCACGACAATCTCTTCGATGGGCTTGTTCAACATGTAGGTCCCTCCGTAGATGGCACTTAACCTGGAAGGAAGCAAGGAAGCAATTGTCCCAAGATGTTCGGCTGGTCCAAGTCACAGGATTTCCCTGCATCTTCGGTTGACCGAGCCCCAATCCCACAGGTGAACAAGGGCTCTGTGCAGTGGTGGGATCCTTCCGGTTTAACAGCCGGTTCGGTTCAAAAAAAAAAAAATCACCTTCTGCCTTAGTGCTAGGGAATTAAAAGAGCGGAGGCAGGGCAATCAGCTCTGCTGCGCTAATCAGCTGCGGAGATAAAGGTAAGTAAAGCACAGGGGCGGGCCCAGTTGATCGCCGGAGCTACCGGTTCGCCCGAACCGGTCTGAACCGGTAGAATCCCACCCCTGGCTCTGTGACCCTCTAATGATTATTTCTGCCCCTTCAAGTCACTTCTGAGTCCTGGCAACCACCTGGACAAATCCCTGCAGTTTTCTTAAGCAACATTTTTGGGAGACGTTTGCCTTCCCCCCCTTCATAGGGCTGAGAGAAAGTGACTGGCTCAAGGTCACCCAGCTGGCTTAGTCTCTAAGGCCGTGATGCCGAATCTATAGCACGTGTGTCACCTGGCACGCATAGCCATATCAGTGGGCATGCCAGCTCAGCTCTGGTGCACACACGTGCGCCGGCCAGCTGATTTTCACGCCTTCTGGGCCCACCAGAAGTAGGGAAATGGGCTGTTTCCTGCCTCCGGAGGGCCTAGGGTGGGTGGGGAAGTCCTGTTTTTACTTCTCACCTGGCTCCAGATCCTCTCTATGCATCTGGGTAGGGCAAAAACAGCCTTCCCCGCCCCCTCGGAGGCCCTCCAGAGGCCAGAAATGGCCCATTTCCCAACTTCCAGTTGGACAGGAAGTAATGTTTTTTGCTGTCCCCAGCCTCCAGAGACTCCTAGAGAGGCTCTGGAGGCTGGAGACAGCAAAAAAGTCACTTCCTGTCCAACTGGAAGTTGGGAAACGGGCCTTTTCGGACCTCTAAGGGGGTGGGGAAGGCTGTTTTCGCCCTCCTCAGATGCATAGAGAGGATCTGGAACCAGGTGAGAGAGAAAAACGGCTCTACTAGGCCATCATGTGCCAGGAGCCGGGGAGCGGGGTGGGGGGTTGCGCACGCATGCTCGAGGGTGCATAGAATTATGGTTGTGGGCACGCACGCACGCAAACTTACTCCCCCGCCACAAGATGGCAAAAAGGTTAGCCATCACTGATCTAAGGTCTCTTAACCACTACACCAAACAGCCTCTCTACAACTTACTAGAGCGCTTAATAGATGTCTTTCTTTGTACAATCTCCATTTTCCCAAAACTGGAACTTTTCATCCCATCCCAAACTGGGGCTGGAGTCAAAAGAGAAATCCGCCTAGCATCCCTACGTAGTCACAAGCGAACTATGTCCAACCTCCCTTGAATTCAGCTGACCTTCATCTCTTAGCAGATGCTGCCTGTCAATTGAGAACATTCCTGTGCATAAGGTTTTTAGCAATAAATCAGACAAGGACCCAGATTGTTGGGGGCAATATGCCGATTCTGTAAACCGCTCAGAGGGCTGTCAAGCACTATGAAGCGGTATATAAGTGCTATTGCTACCTCGGTATTCGGCGGCTTCAAAACCCGTCGAATTTGGTACTCGACGCATTTTGACACAAAAATATTGTCCCGGTACTCGTTGTTTGTTTGGTACTCGACATGCTGAGACGAGAGAGGCAGCCACGGAAAATGGACAGAAAGTTGGCCATACTGGGAAGGTCGCTGCAAAAGGAAGTGAGGGACGGCCACAGAAGGTGGACAGGAAGTCGGCCATGCTGGGAAGGTCACTGACATAGGAAAAGGGACAGGTAAGAAGTCCTTCCCACCCACCTCAAAGGATCATGTGGTCAGTCACTCATCATTTTTAGTATTCCTCGGAACCAATTAACGAGTACCGAGATACTACTGTAATTGCACCTTCCTGTGCATAGGTGCGAGTAGCAACACATCAATCGAATTGAACCTTTGTGTATCCACCCAATCTTTCCTGCCTGATACCTACTGGGCTAGGCGGGGATCCCAACCAGAAAAATACCACCGGAAATAAAGCATATCGATTGGAGCTGGCAGCCCAAACAAGTCCACCCAGCAAAGGTCTCACCTGGCAAATCCCTGGGGAAGCTCCCCCAAGCCATAGAGAGGATAGAGGTAGGGACTTTTGCCGTATCTGGCCAAAGACTCGCTGTAGAGTTTAATCCTGTTGATGGTTTCTTGGCAAGGTTGGTCTAGGTACCTGAAGGGAGAGAAAGTTGAGATCAGGGGCTGGCAGCTATGACAACTTTATGAACTGGCAACCGGTGGTGGGTTCCAAATTTTTTTACTACCGGTTCTGAGGGTGTGGCTTGGTGGGCGTGGCAGGGGAAGGATTGATACTGCAAAATCCCCATTCCCTCCCCACTCCAGGGGAAGGATACTGTAAAATCTCCATTCCTACCCCGCTCCAGGAGAAGGATACTGCAAAATCCCCACTCCCACCCCGCTCCAGGGGAAAGTTACTGCAAAATCCTCATTCCCTCCTCAATCCAGGGGAAGGATACTGTAAAATCCCCATTCCCTCCCCACTCCAGGGGAAGGATACTGTAAAATCTCCATTCCCACCCCGCTCCAGGGGAAAGTTACTGCAAAATCCCCATTTCCTCCTGATCAGCTGGGATTTGGGAGGCAGAGAAGAGATGGGGGTGGGGCCAGTCAGAATTTTTACTACCGGTTCTCCGGACTACTCAAAATTTCCGCTACCGGTTCGCCAGAACTGGTCAGAACCTGCTGAAACCCACCTCTGCTGGAGACTACCCCGTGTTTTCCTGAAAATAAAACCAGGTCTTATTTTCTTTTGGGCCCCAAAATAAGCACTAGGGCTTATTTTCGAGGGGGGTATGTCCCGTCCCCCCACCATGTACAGGAGGTCCACGTCTTCTGCTTGTTCGCGGCGGGGCAGGAGGCCATGCGGTGTTACCAGTGTTGCCACCATGAGGCAGGGAGAGGGGGGCAACTGACCTATGGGCCACCCACGCCACACCTGCCTTGCCTCGCGGCTGCGGCACCAACACACCGCTTGATCTCCTGCTTTGTTGGGGCCGAGAGCAAGCAGAAGAAGTGGGCCGGCAGCCACGGGGCCTCCTGCTGCACATGTCAGGTGTTGGGGTGTGGATAGCCTGGCTGTGGAGGGCCCTCAGGTAAACCACTGTGGGGCAGCTGCACCACCACCCCGCGCGAGCAACCCGATGGAATGGGTGGCCAGCCAGCTGCACAGTAGGGCTTATTTTGGGGGGTAGGGTTTATATTAGGCGCATGAGTAAAAATATGCTAGGGTTTATTTTTGGGATTTTGGGATATTTTGGGGAAACACAGTTGAAGTCCCCAGGTCGTAAAGTTTGCCACAGGGCCCTGGTTTTGATCTAGCGAGGGAAAACACAGGCCAGGTGGGGAGGGGTCTCTCTCTCTCTCTCAGGGGAGGGGGGGGTCGCTTACTCATCCGTCCTGTACAGGGCCAGGGCGTGTCCCGTGAAGTCAATCACATCCTGGCCGAGATCGAACTTCTTGTAGACGTCGCGCATGGTTGTTTTCTTGGGATCCACCCCTTCGAACGTGCGGGCATCGTTCTCGTCAAAGTTGGCCACGTAGACCAGAAACTTCCGGAAGCGCCTTTTCTCAAACAGGCCCATCAAACCTTCAAAGGGGGAAAAAACAGCCCAAGTTTTTTTTAAGCGCCGAGGACGAAAAATGAACACCTTTTATCCTGGTTTGTTTTAGAGCTCGGAGAGAAGCAGCAATGTGGGCTCCGGTTGGTTCTTCCCAGCTGTGGGCTAAAGGCTGTTTTGGGGTATACGGAATCCTCGATTTACAACTGTTCGTTTTAGTGACCGTTCAAAGCTACGACGACATTGGAAAAAGCGACTTATGACTAGTTTTCACACTTCTGACCATTGCAGCTTCCCCATGGTCACTTGATCAAAATTTGGACGCTTGGCAACTGGCTCATATTTATGACGGTTGCAGTGTCCCGGGGTCACGTTTTGCGACCTTTTCACAAGCAAAGTCAAGGGGGGGGGAGTCAGATTCACTTAATGACCATCTTGCTAATTTAACAACTGCAGTGATTTGCTTAACCAACGTGGCAAGAAAAGTTGTAGAGTGGGATACAATGATCTGAACCACTGTCTTGCTTAGCCAAGAAAGTTTTGGGCTCCATTATGGTCGTAAATCGAGGACTACCTATACAAATAATCTCACAACCCACATTGTAACCCGTTGATGGGATCCATCGAGAGAAAGAGTGATTGGCTTACTAGAGGCGAGAGCTTCCGCTTCGGTTGAAGGGACTTTGTAGATCTTTCCACCCTTGTAGACAAAGCTCCCTTCGATCACCTTGAAGTCCAGGTAGCGAGTGACCTCTGTGTACAGCAGCATCTTCACCAGTTGGCCTGCAGAAAAAACAAGCCCAGTGGGAACCCAGACAGGCAGGGAAAGTACAGTGAAGAACTGAAAGACTGGGAAGAGAGACATTTATCCCCACACCAGAGGGACCTACGGCACCAAAGGCAGGATAGGAATTATGAGAGAATAAACAGAGCTGTTTACAGCCACTCACCACAGGCCATGAGGAATTTGGGGATCAGGTCAACGTTCCAGTCTCTTCCTCGGCCCATTGACTCCGGTATTGCTCCTGGCAGCTGAAACCTTTTGTATAGCTTTTAAGAAGAAGAAGAAGGAAGAGGGTAGGAGTTAGGGTAGGCTGTGCAGTTCACCCACCCAGGAAGAAATGTCTTTTTTTTAAAAAAAAAGAACCAAGCTGAGAGAAGGATTGTTAAGAGCATCACACAGCCATCTTACCAATCATCCTTAGATCTTTCAATGGAGGGAGGGAGGGAGGAGATGGGAATGAAAGGGAGAGAGGGAGAAAAAAGGAAGGAAGGAAGATGGGAATGAAAGGGAGGGAGGGAGGGAGGGAGAAGGAAGGAAGGAAGGAAGGAGATGGGAAAATGAAAGAAAGGGAGGGAGGGAGGGGGAGGAGGAGAGAGAAAGAAGGAAGGAAGGAAGGAAGGAAGGAAGGAAGGAAGGAAGGAAGGAAGGAGATGGGAATGAAAGGGAGGGAGGGAGGGAGGGAAAAGAAGGAAGGAAGGAAGGAAGGAGATGGGAATGAAAGAAAGGGAGGGAGAGGAAGAAGGAAGGAAAGAAGGAAGGAGATGGGAATGAAAGGGAGGGAGGGAGGGAGAAGGAAGGAAGGAGATGGGAATGAAAGAAAGGGAGGGAGGGAGGGAGGAAGAAGGAAGGAAGGAGATGGGAATGAAAGAAAGGAGGGAAGGAAGGAAGGGAGAGAGGGAGGGAGAAGGAAGGAAGGAGGGGAATGAAAGGAAGGAGGGAAGAAAGGGAAGGAGGGAGAAGAGAAAAGGAAGGAAACAAAAGAGAAAGAGAAAGAAAAAGAAAAAAGAAGAAAGCAAGAAAGAGAAAAGAAAAGCAAAAGGGAAAAGAAAAGAGAAAGAAAAAGGGAGAAAGAGAAAGAAGAAAGTGTGTGAGAGAAAGGGAAAGGCAGAGGGGGGGGGGAGAGAGAGAGAAATACTCACATCTTCCAGGGGTGTAATGGAAGCACTTTCCCCTCCGTAGTAAGCGTTCCGATCCATGTGCAGAACTTTCTTGCCATTGACGGACATAATGCCCGAGAGAATGCATTCCTGCAGAGAAGAGATCCAGGAACAAAATTAAGTTCTCCCCAACCACTGTGAGGGGCTCAGGAGGTCCATCAGCGAGAAGAAAACATCTGCGGGGTTGCTCAAGTCCAGAGGGTGCCCATCACAAAACTGTCACGTGACAACGGATGCAGCCTGCAACTCGGAAAAGGCCTGGTGTCCCTACTGTTGCAACCAACTGTTCATTTAGCAAACGTTCAGAGTTACGACGGCACTGAAGAAAAGTGACTTACAACTGGCCCTCACGCTTATGACCATCACAACACCACCACAATGAAAGGAACAAAATTTGGGCGCTTGGCAACCAATATGTATAGGCAGTCCTCGACTTACAACCACAATTCATGTTGCTAAGTGAAGCATTTGCTAAATGAGTTTTGCCCCATTTTATGATTTTTCTTGCCACTATCGTTAAGCGAATCACTGCAGTTGTTAAATTAGTAACACGGTTGTTAAGTGAATCTGGATTCTCCATGGACTTTGCTTGTCAGGAGGTCGCAAAAGGAATCACGTGACCCTGGGTCACGGCAACCGTCATAAATATGAATCCATTGCCAAGCACCTGAATTTTGTTCATGTGACCTTGGGGATGCTGCAACGGTCGTAAGTGTGAAAACCGGTTACAAGCAAAGTTGAATAGGAGAAGCCAGATTCTCCTCTTAACCAAATGATTCACTTAATAACTATAGTGGTTCGCTTAACAACCATGGCAAAATGGTCGTTAAAAATCATACCAAACTCCCTTAACAACCATCTTGCTTAGCAACCTGGTCCCAACTGTGGCAGTAAACCAAGGACTGCCCATAAAAAAGGTAGTTAGGAAGTTAAGTGGACAGGGGGGATGCTTAGAAATAATAGAACTTAGTTTGTTGTAGCTGTCCTTCCCTGTTACATCGCAACTCAATATTATAACACGATCCTTAACTGAGGAGTCAGTGAAAGAAACCATGCATGCTAACCAGCAGAGCAAATAGGACTTTGCTCCAGGGAGGAAATTTAGTGAAAACTGCTTTAGGGGAGAACATTATCTGCCTTTGCCGGATAAACAATGAGTCAACAAGTGGTAAACTTAAACTCTCTCTCTCCTCCCTTCCTTTCTTCCTCTTTTTTCCCCTTCCTTCCTTTCCTTCCTTTTGTCCCTTGCTGTCTTCTCTCTCCTTCCTCGCCTTCCTTCCTTCCTTCCTTCCTTCCTGACCTTCTTTCCTTTCTCATCAAAACCTTCCTTCCTTCCCAATTAGCACTAGCACTTAGACCTCGGAAGGATGGAAGGCTGAGTCAACCTTGAGCCGGTCAGGATTGAACTCCTGGCAATGAGTAGAGTCAACCTGCAATACTATAGTCTCACCACTGTGCCACCACGGCCCTTCCTTCCTTCCTTCCTTTCCCTTCCCTTCCTCCTTTCCTTCCTTCCTTCCTTCCCTCCCTCCTTTTCTTCCTTCCTTCCCTGCCTTCTTTCCTTCCCTCCCTCCTTTCCTTCCTTGCCTTCTTTCCTTCCCTCCCTTTTCTTCCTTCCTTCCCTCCCTCCTTTCCTTCCTCCCTGCCTTTTCTTCCTTCCTTCCCTGCCTTCTTTCCTCCCTCCCTTTTCTTCCTTCCTTCCCTGCCTTCTTTCCTTCCCTCCTTCCTTTCCTTTCTTCCTTCCCTGCCTTCTTTCCTTCCCTCCTTTTCTTCCTTCCTTCCCTGCCTTCTTTCCTTCCCTCCTTCCTTTTCTCTTTCCTTCCTTCCTTTCTTCCCTCCCTCCCTCCCTTCTTTCCGTCCCTGCCTCTCTCCCTCCCTCCCTCCCTCTAAGTAGACTTCTGAGCTGCTTGCCAGTTGGAAGTTGCCCCAAAAGAGATGATTTCAGCTGACCTGGTCGTCTGGCTGAACCAGTTCGATCACTAGAGGGTAGAGTTCAGTTTACAGAATTCTAGGTTCTGGGGTGGATGTGAGGCCTTAAGGTCCACCGAGGTCTTTTCCGGTGATTTTGCTTTTTTTTTTTCTTTCCCCCTTCCTGTTTTGGCATTGCATAACAAGGCGGGACACCCAAGAGGGTGGCTGCCGCTCACCTCAAGCCTTCCTCTCGGCCTTTCGCTTTCAACTTTCAACTTCCGTGCGCTGCTCCGAACTTGCACTTGGCAATGGGGGTCACAATAACCTCGGCTGCTTCCCAGGGGGACACTGAGGCTCCTCTGCCCACTTGGGAGGTGTTCTCTTACCCAGAGCAGACCTGAGGGCTGCCCGGCTGCCCAGGCCGAACGCTCGTCCTCTGCCCGTCCCCAACCTCTCTTGAAGGTTCATCTCACCACCACGGCTTGTCGATCAGAAAGGTCGGCAGTTCGAATCCCTAGTATAGATCTCCGGTGTGAGCAGGGGGTTGGACTAGATGACCTCCAAGGTCCCTTCCGACTCTTTTTACTGTTACAGATTGCCTGTAGAACATGGCTGGCTGGGGAATACTGGGAGTTGAAGTCGACGGCTCGTTAAAGGTTGCCCGCCCGTTCTAGAAGGACCAGCAGAGAGGCGGTTCCCTGACATCTGGTTTCCATGCTTACTGGTTTTGAAATGTTTACCTGTTAGGATTTTAATTTTTGAAGGCTGGAAGCCGTCCAGAGTCATTTTGATACAAGATGGAAAGGAGGAGGAGAGGAAGAGGGAGAGAGGGAGGAGAAGAGAAAGAGAGAGAGAGAGATGATAAATAGATAGGCTGATATACAGAGATAGATAGATAGATAGATAGATAGATAGATAGATAGATAGATAGATAGATAGGCAGATAGATAGATAGATAGATAGATAGATAGATAGATAGATAGATAGATAGATAGATAGATAGACAGACAGACAGACACAGGCAGGCAGGCAGGCAGACAGACAGACAATCTGGTTCCATCAGCTCCATCCTCCACTGGAAGAATAAACCAGTCAGCATTTTTCAATTTCATGTTGCCATATTTGTCATGTTGTTATATTTGAGGGGCTGCCCCAAAGAAGGGGGGGGGGGATCAGCCTATTCTCCAAAGCCCCTGAAGGCAGGACAAGAAGCCACAGGTGGAAGTTAATCAAGGAGAGAAACAACCTGGAACTAAAGAGGAATTTCCTGACAGCAAGAACAATTCATCTGTGGAAATTTTTAAGAAGAAGAAATTGGGAGTTGTGGGTGCAGCAACGCTGGAGGTTTTCAAGAACTGGACCAATTTGTCTGAAATGGTATAATGTCTCCTGCTCAAGCGGGGGGCTGGACTAGAGGACCTCCAAGGTCCCTTCCAACTCTTGTTATTTCTCTGCTTTCCTGCCTTCTGATGTGGCCACGGCCTCAAGCCCTGCCACACTTCCTCTGTTAAACACAGCTGTTGTGTTGGAACGTAGTCCAGATTTGCAAGAGGGAGGGAGAGGCTCTGCAAAAAAGACAGCTGGACTTGGGATTGTCTGGTGGACGGGAAAAGAGCAAGGTCACAGCCTACCCAGCAATTCACAGGAAGTTCCTAACTGTTTTGCAAATAATTGCTTTAATCTGGCAAGATTGTGTCTGTAGGAGAGCAACAACGAAGGAACAATGTAGTTCTTGACTTACGACAATTTGTTTAGTGACAGTTCGAAGTTACAATGGCTCTGAAAAAAGGGACTTATGGTTATGTTCACATTATCAAAATTCAGACACCAGTTCATAATTATCATTCCACTGCAATTCCCTACATTTATTTTCCAAAATAAGATCAAGAGAATTCTCGCTCAAAGTTAAGTGCCTCCTTAACCTTTCTTTTCTTTATTGTAAATGGGAGAGAACGGGAACAATGGCCGTGTTTCGAGGGCCGGTGAAGCCGGGGAGCGTCTCAAATCCTTTGATCCGGTATATTTCTGACGAAGCACAAAATGGGATTAGGAAGCCAATTCTCCGCTCTGCATTTTAAGCGTCCTGTTCTCTAGAGTGCCGAAAATACAGCAGAATGTGGAAGGTAGAGCCTTAGTGGCGCAGCAGACTAAAGTGCTGTTAAGTAGCACCAGCTGCCTGCAATTACTGCAAGTTCAAATCTCACCAGGCTCAAGGTTGACTCAGCCTTCCATCCTTCCGAGGTAGGTAAAATGAGGACCCAGATTGTGGGGGCAACAAGGTGACTTTGTATAAAAAAGAACACCACTTGGGGGGGGGCGAAAGCCCTACTAAGCAGGTATATACAAAAGTATGAAGGCTATTGCTTAACGCATTGTAAGCCGCCCTGAGTCTCCGGAAAAGGGCAGCATATAAATCAAACCAATCAATCAATCAATAAATAAATAAATAAATAAATAAGCAAGCAAGCAAGCAGCCAAATGAAGCAAAAATTCAAATCTGAGGCAGGAGGTCTCCAGTCATCTCAAGTTTAAGACTCGTGAACTTCAACTCCCAGAATTCCTCAGCCCTCAATTTAGGAGGAATCCCAATTTCACACACACCAAAATCCCTCCCAACAGAGCTTGAAGCTGGCATAGCGAAGTTTAAAGCTAGCAGGGGCATTCGCTAAGAAGGAGACAAGCTGATTCTTGCCCGTGAGGCCTTCCCTGTTCCTGCCTCGTAGCTGAAAAATCAAATTTGAATGAAGCTGGAGGCTTAAGCTACGGCCTCCTTTTCTGAAGGCTCTGCAATCTTTTCTGATTTTTTTTTTTTTTTGCAGGGTGCAGGAAAGCTACAGCTTGGCAACCTGCAATCCGAAGCCCGCCAGCCCAGACGAAATTGCAACAGGAGGATTTGCTCAACCCGACGTGAAGAATGTGCATGGAGGGAAGAATTGGTAACCCGACGGCAACTAATTTTGTAGACTGGAGTTCTTTCCACTGAAGAGGGGAAATTAATTTTGCCGTGGAACCCAGGTGGATCCGATCCCCTTTTCCAATTCCAAGTCAGAGGCCAGTTACAGCGCGTCCACAACTTACAACAGTTCACTTAGGGTGGATAAAAACAGATGATTTAAAAAAAAAAAGGATTTAAAAAAAAATTTAAATCGGATTTTTTTTCATTTTTATCAAATTTATTT